TTTGAAGTTTCCACTTCCTGAATGGTTTTTTTATCTTACTAGCCTCAGAAAACTTGATCTAAGCGGTAATTTTTTGGGTGGTCCCGTTCCCAGTGAATTTCAAAGCCTCAAATCACTAGAAGCTCTTGATTTGTCTTTTAATGATCTTGAAGGTCAAATTCCCAAAAGTTTTGGGAACTTTTGCAATCTAAAGACATTGAATCTTGCAAATAACCAATTTGAAGGGGGGATTCAAGAGCTTTTGGGTGGTTTATCAAGTTGTCCCAATAGTGAATTAGAGTCATTAGATTTGTCTTCTAATAAGCTGAAAAGCCAATTGCCTACCTCAGTAGGGATGCTACACAACTTGAAGTATCTTAACCTCTACAATAATGATATGAGTGGGTCCATTCCTAAAAGTTTGGGGCAACTCTCCGAGCTTGTTCACCTAGATCTATCTTTTAACCCATGGGAAGGGTTTTTAACAGAAGCCCATTTCACAAATCTCACAAGATTGAAATATTTTTCTATAGGCAAAGACACCCCATACCCTACTCTACCTATTCCTCTCATTTTCAATGTGTCTTATGAGTGGGTTCCTCCTTTCAAGCTGCACAAAATTAACATTGGGAACTGTAAAGTAGGTCCTGCCTTTGGAGCATGGCTTCAATCTCAAACTGAACTTGTCTTTGTCAAACTTTCTACCGCTGGAATCTCAGATTCTATACCCGAGGATTGGTTCATGAAATTATCTTCCCAAGTTGAGTATTTGGATTTGTCTGCCAACCAAATCCATGGAAAGCTTCCCTTGCAATTGAAATTCCCAAATGCACTGCTTTTGGATTTGAGTCATAACCAATTTGATGGACCAATTCCACTTTGGTCTGGTGACAATGTGGTTGAGTTTAAGCTTGAAACTAATTCATTTTCTGGCACCATTCCATTGAATTTTGACCAAAAGTTTCCAAAATTGGAATTCCTTTATCTTGCTGAAAATCATTTGCATGGCACCATTCCACCTTCCATTTGCAACATGAAACACTTGTATACTCTTTCTCTGAGAAACAACAATCTATCAGGAGAATTTCCAAAAGCATGGAGCCTGTTGCCTGATATAATGGTTGTAGATGTTGCATACAATAGTCTCTCAGGCAATCTTCCCAGTTCAATGGGTGCCTCAGGTACTCTTTTCATGTTGAAGATGAACAACAACAATTTCGAGGGTGAAATTCCGTTTTCCTTGCAAACCTGCACTTCTTTGAGGAACATTGATCTCGGGAATAATAGATTCACTGGTGAAATACCTCCATGGATAGGATCAACTGCTTTCTTGGTGTCAACCCTAAGGCTGAGATCCAATTTTTTAAGTGGACATATCCCACAACAGTTGTGCAATCTTGGCTACCTTCACATCCTAGACCTTTCTCACAACAGCTTTTCCGGGACAATCCCCAAGTGTTTGAACAATCTCACTGGTCTCAGAATCTTTAATGACAGTTTTTATAATATATATCTAGAGTATGACCAACAAACAACAGTGATGAGAGGAAGAGAACTCCAATTGAACACTTCTCTAGCGTACGTAAAAAGCATTGATCTTTCATCAAATAGGTTTGAAGGTGAAATCCCTCAAGAAATATGCAGCCTCGTTCTATTGCGCAACTTGAACTTGTCGATGAATCAGTTCAGTGGAAACATCCCATCAAAGATCGGAAACTTGTCGCAGCTCGATACTCTTGATCTCTCACTCAACCACCTGTCAGGACAGATTCCTCAAAGTCTTTCATCCTTGACCTTCTTGTCTAACTTGAACTTGTCCTATAACAACTTGAGTGGTGAAATTCCTTTGGGAAACCAACTCCAAGCACTCCCTGATTCATCCATTTATGAGGGCAACCCATTCCTTTGTGGACTTCCTCTTTCAACCAAGTGCTCCGAAGATGGCAATTCTACTCCCAAGGATCCAAAAGACAATGACAATGAAGATGGAAATGAGAAGTTCTGGTTCTATGTAAGTATGGCACTCGGTTTTATCGTAGGCTTTTGGGGTGTTTTTGGCACATTAATTGTGAAGAAGTCATGGAGGTACGCTTATTTTCGATGGTTTGATGACATCAAAGATAAGGCAACACTATGTGTGCGTCACTTGGTTTGCCAAGAGTGAATTTCAAAGGGGATTGTATGCAAGTCATCCCAGCTATTACATACCTTTTTTATTTTGGTAGTATTATTGATGATATAAAAACCCTGGTTACAAACTAGAATGGGTTTAGTTTTTTTGTTTGCTAGGTGTCAAGTCAATGAGATAGCGCACCGTGTTGCGCAGAGTGCACTGTCTTATGATTTTAAAGTAGAGTGGTTTGAGGAACCACAAGATATTATTCAAGATTGTCTTCTTTTTTATGTTTGTAATAGGGGTAAAGTTTAAAACCCCCGTTTTTATTTTAATGATTAATAAAATTTCCCTCGTACCGTCGAGGTTCTCTAAAAAAAAAGATAAAGCAACACTAGAAATTGCAGTGAAAGCCGCTCCTTTGCAAAGAAAACTTTGATTAAAACAAGAAAGTAGAAGAAGTTCTTTTTAAATCAAAATGCTTGAGTATTTATGAAGTTCATATCCCGTGTGATATGTTTTTCCCCTTCAGTTAGAACACCACAATATTCGACCAAAAAAAGAATACCAAAATATTCGTTCTTTGACTTATGAATTTTAAAATTAAATTGTGCACCCAAACAAATGATTAATCTATATATATAAAGCAAAAGGCAGAGAATGGTGAAACATTCAAAATACCAGAAAATGCCCTTGGTTAATACAAACATTAAGAATTGAAATTATTAATTAAATAAGGATAATATGGTAAATTCACACTTTTCATATTTAAAAAATTAAAATTAAAAGAAAATTCATATAATGGATCCTATTTTTATGGAACACAACTACCCATTCTCTTTTTTAATTCTAAAATAAATTTAAATTTTTTTTAAAAAAGCCTCTCGCAAGCGCGGAAGCGCATGCGGAGAGGCTAGTGTCGTATTAAACTTACTAACCATTTTCCACATGTATATAGTTGGATTTATTTATATATAGTTGACCCCTAGTCAAAACCATCATGCATCCACAGATTAGTCTCCCCAAACCATCAGTACATGTAAAGAAGTCTAAGAATTAGAAAAGAAAAAAAAACAAAATCAAATTTAAAAGAAGTCTAAGAATTAGGAGAAAAAAAAAAACCATCAGTACATGTAATAACAACATGAAACATTTAAATGGTTCATCTCCTATCAAACAATGCTTCACCATACTTTGGAACAATTGCAGTACCATACTGTATTAAAGCATGCCTTCCGTGCCCTATGACCCCCAAGTCAAAACCATCATGCATCCACAGATTAGTCTCCGAGACAGTGGAGACCAATGTTTACCCAAACCCTTTTGAGGGCCCACCCCCATTGTGGTCCAGTAGTGCTTCAATCCTTATCTCTTGATTTACTTTCCGGGTCAATACCCTTTGATTTGATATCATTATTTTTGTCCTCAAAGTGGAAAAGTTGCACCTTTCTGAGAATCCAAGTGTTTGAATAATATGGCTACATTGGTCTATGGTGATTCCACTACATTTGTTCTATGACTATCATGTAATTTGCAATGTACTTGCTGGCTATTAAATAAATCACTGAAGATGCCAACTTTGCCTTCTTTTTTTTATTCTCTCTTTTAGATTTTTGCATAAATTTTCCACCAAGAACACAAGTTGTCACATGTGAAGAATGCAGTGTGTTTGGTGATCACGCGAAGGGCACATAGTCAACAATTTTGTTAAAATAAAGAGGAAAACGCAGAGGAAAGAGACCAACTTGAACTCCCTCTTTTTCCTTGGTGAATCTTCCTCACAGGATTTGGTTAGTTTTGTTTATGCCTACTTGCCAATCTAGCCAACTCGTAAAATGGGTTGAATACTTGGAATCTGGATGGCAATGATTTAGATATTCATTTTACACTTTCATAACCTCCTATAAGTTTAGTTTTCTGCTCAGTTGCCATCTGCACCACAGCAAAGAAAATTTTGTATGAAAATGTATAGCTTTGCAAACTCGTTCAGCTCTAACTTTCACCTCAACATTGCCCACTATTTCCTTCTTTTCTTGTTGGCCTCTTTATTTCCACACACTAGTAAACTCTGTTTTGGTGATGCACTTCCAAGTGTGACACCATGCATCGACGAAGAGAGACGTGCACTTCTCGCCTTTAAACAAGATCTTACTGATCCTTCTGGGAGGCTTTCTTCTTGGGCAGGTCAACATTGCTGTCAATGGAAAGGAATTTCATGCAACAACAAAACAGGTCATGTTGAAATGATGAATCTGCGGAACACGTATACGTATACGCTCTCTGTTTTTGATGCAGAGTGGGATGAGATGGAGCACTCTTCTTTGGGGGGTAAGATAAATCCTTCTTTGCTTAGCCTGAAACATTTGATTTACCTAGACCTAAGCCGGAATGATTTTCACGGGATTCCCATTCCCAAATTCTTTGGTCAGCTTAAAAGTTTGAGGTATCTCAATCTCTCCTATGCTTCATTTGTAGGAGAGATTCCACCTCAGCTTGGAAACCTCTCAAACTTAAACTATCTTGACCTCAGTGAAGAGTCTGACTACTCTTTACTTGAACTTCCTTCCAACAACTTGAATTGGCTTTCCAATCTCTCTTCCCTAAAATACCTCAATCTTGAAGGACTGGACCTCAACAAAACAGGGGAAAGTTGGCTACATGCTGTTAACATGCTTCCTTCCCTACTAGAGCTACACTTACCAGCAAAGCCTTCCACTCTCCCTAGGAAATATTAGCCTCAAATCACTTTTGATCCTTGACATGTCATATAATGATTTGAAGTTTCCATTTCCTGAATGGTTTTTGAATCTAGCTAACCTCAGAAAACTTGATCTAAGGGGGAATTCTTTCAGTGGTGCCTTTCCCCTTGAACTTGGAAGGCTCAAATCATTGGAACATCTTGATTTATCTTTCAATGCACTTGAAGGTCAAATTCCGGAACTGGCTGGAAATTTTTGTAACCTAAAGATCTTGAATCTTGCTAGCAATAAATTTGATGGGGAGATTCAAGACCTTTTGGGTGGTTTAACAAGTTGTCTTAACACAAATTTAGAGTCATTAGATTTGTCTTCTAATATGTTGCAAAGAGAATTGCCTGCCTCCTTGGGGATGCTACACAATTTGCAGTATTTTTGTCTCTACAACAATCAAATGAATGGGTCCATTCCTGAAAGCTTGGGGCAACTCTCTCAGCTAACTCACCTAGATTTATCTTTAAACTCATGGGGAGGGTTTTTAACTGAAGCCCATTTCACAAATCTCACAAGATTGAAATACTTTGCATTAGGCAAAGTCACCCCATACCCTATTCTACCTATTCCTCTCATTTTCAATGTGTCTTATGAGTGGGTTCCTCCTTTCATGCTTCACACAATCAACATTGGAAACTGTCAAGTAGGTCCTACCTTTGGAGCATGGCTTCAGTCTCAAACCGAACTAGCCTTTGTCAAACTTCATGGTGCTGGAATCTCAGGTGCCATACCAGAGGACTGGTTCTCTAAAATATCTTCCAAAGTCTATTATTTGGATTTGTCTCACAACCAAATCACTGGAAACCTTCCATTGCAATTGAAATTTCCAAATGCTCTGATTTTGGATTTGAGTCATAATCAAATTCATGGCCCCTTCCCACTTTGGTCCAGTGACAATGTGATCCGTCTTGAGCTTGAAACCAATTCATTTTTTGGGCCTATTCCAATGAATTTGGACCAACGATTTCCACAATTGGTGGCACTGTATCTTTCTGAGAACCATTTGAATGGTACTATTCCACTCTCTATTTGCAACCTCAAAAACTTGTTAGTCCTTTCTCTGAGAAGCAATGAGCTGTCAGGAAACTTTCCTCAAGCATGGAGTCTGTTGCAGGAAATATGGGTTATAGATGTTGCATACAACAATCTCTCAGGCAAGCTTCCGAATTCAATCGGTGTCCCGGGGTCACTTTTTATGTTGAAGATCAACAACAATAATTTGAGTGGTGAAATTCCACTTTCCTTGCAAAATTGCACTTCTTTGAGGCACATTGATCTTGGAAATAATAGATTCACTGGCACCATACCTTCATGGATAGGATCAAATGTGCCCCTGGTGTCGATCTTACGACTGCGATCGAATTTCTTTACTGGACATATCCCCCAACAGCTGTGCAATCTTGGCTACCTTCATATCCTAGACCTTGCTCACAACAACATTTCAGGAACCATCCCCAAGTGTTTGAATCATCTGAGTGCTTTAACACATGGCAATTTAAGCGCCTATGACTTATATTCATATTATGACCAACAAACATCAGTGGTGAAAGTAACAGAACTCGAATATCAGGCGCAGACCTTGATGTTGGTTAAAAGCATTGATCTTTCATCGAATAGCCTTGAAGGTGAAATCCCTGAAGAAATATGCAGCCTCCTCCTGTTGCACAGCTTGAACTTGTCGAAGAACCAACTAAGTGGAAACATTCCCTCAAACATTGGAAGCTTGCAGTGGCTCGAAGTTCTTGATCTCTCACGCAACCGCCTTTCAGGATGGATTCCTCAAAGTCTTTCATCTTCCACCTTCTTGTCTCACCTGAACTTGTCCTATAACAACTTGACTGGTAGAATTCCGTTGGGAAACCAACTCCAAACCCTCACGGATCCATCCATTTATGTGGGTAACCCATCATTGTGTGGGGTTCCTCTGTCAACTAAGTGTTCCGAAGATGATCACACTCCTACAAAAGACAATGATCATGAAGATACAAATGACAAGTTGTGGTTCTACATTAGCATGGCACTCGGCTTTATCGTAGGATTTTGGGGTGTTTGTGGCACCTTACTTGTGAAGAAGTCATGGAGGTATGCTTATTTTCGATGGTTTGATGACATCAAGGATAAGGTGATGCTAGCAATTGCATTGAAAATGGCTCGTACTCAAAGGAAACTTTGATTAGAATTGAAATATGGACCCAAGTGCTTGAATTCACAACACTTGAGCAAGTATGAAATTCATGTACCATATGAAGTTTTCCCCTGTATGCACTTGTTTTGAATCTTGATTACTTAGAATACGGAACCCACCGTTCATTTCAAGTACTATTTCTTTTTTCTATAAGGCTTTCATTTGTAGTGGATTTGGTATATATAGCATTTGGCCCAACCCAACTGACCACTTTCTCCGAAATGGAATTACAATTGGCGTAGAGTTACAGTTAACATGAAGATAGACCGGAGAGGCTAGCTCAGAGCTGTGCTCTAATTAGTCAACAATTGCATTTTGACACCATCTGCCTGATTTGACTAGAAAACTTGAAAAATAGGTTGACGACCTGGAAACGGTGATAGACTCTAGTTCTTCACCTATGAACAATGCATCCAACGAGGTGCAGTGATTTGGAACAACTGTATTCTAATGAGTATCAATACTCAAACGTATGCTAATGAGGATCTCGAGCCTCAGTATTTATGAAGTGTGAATTTTCGTGCATTTCGCAAAATTTGGAGCATTCATCTAGACCTTTCTTTCACGTATACAAAAATAACTCATCCAAAGCATAAAAGGTGCATATATACCAAATCGTGATTTACAAACATAAATCAATCCTTGAAGCTCTTGTCAGCAGCAATTTCGTCTTAAGGATCTAATTGGGATGTTTGTTTTTTTTGGGTCAAGATTGATTGCTGCTTTAAAATTTTTATTGATTTATTTTGAGAAACAAATTATTCAATCAAATATTATTAATTCAGTATTTCGATCAAATTATTTATTAATAGTCAATTGATACAAATAAAAAACAATCGTCATGCTAATTAGTCAAGAAAACTCCATCTCCCTGATTGGACTTCGCAAAGTAGGTTGAGGATCTGGAATCTGGCCGGCCACCGTTGACTTTGGGTTTGATTTTTACACGCTCCTAGACTTGTACAAATGGGTTCTCTTGGCCCTTCCTCTACTGGCAGCGACGGCAGATCGGGTGGCAGCGGCGGCGGCTGCTTAGTTCTTGGGAGTGTTTTTAGGGTTTTGTTTGTCTTAGGGTTTTTTTTTGGTTGTGTTGGGCCTAAAGTATGTGTATTATGGTTGGGCTTTTATTTTGTTTGGCTGTGCTTTTGTTTTTTGTTTTGTTTGTTGTATTGGGCATGTTTGTAACTTGTTATGTTATGGAATATCCTTTCCTTCGACCAAAAAAAAAGACTTGTACAAATGTATGAGCTCATCTGCATCAAATTGAGAAACCTTGATTCGTATAATGGATATCCAAAGCCTCAAAATTTCTTACTACTTCCTTCTTTTGTTGTGTGTATTGGGTGATATTGGACGTGCAAGCACGGGTGGGAAACAAATATGCATTGAGGAAGAAAGGCAATCTTTTTTTTACAATCCTAATGTATGAACTCATACGCAAATATTTTCGGCCAAAAATAAATTGCCACAAACATATATGCAATGCGTCATTACCTTTTATATACAAGAAATTAAAACATGACGATAAGATGAGACATATGATATATGTATAGATAGAAGTTGAGTATATTAGTGGTGCAAGCTTATAGATGGAATATATTGACCTTTAAGATATATGTACTAGCTACAAACCATGAATAACAACCCATTCCAAACAAAACAAGACAAAAATAAAAATACCACACAAATAACTTATCCGCTCGCAACATGTATATTTTTCAAATTACCCATCGTCAAAGATTTATTGGATCCAAGATTTCCACATTTAAAAGAGTATATAGCCCGATGCATGTAAGCCGAGCCGCTGGATGAATGAGAGCAGACTTTGGCCACAACGGTCAAAATTGATAGCTTTTGTGTTCTTAATTAAACTGGCACTTTATATACGGAAATTGGACTAGACTACAGTTTAGTCAAGAAAATGCAGTTGAACTCCATGTACCTGATTGGACTTGCAAGTTGCAACCTTGCGAAATGGTTGAAGGACGAACGGTGACAAGGAAATAAAAACCATACAAGGACCCAATTTCTTCAGCGTATGAAAAATGCATTAAAAATTAGATGCATAAACGTATTCTAATGAGTTGCTCGTAAATATAGGTCGACCTCCTACCCCCAATGCATATTCTAATGAGCATCAATGTACGTATATTCTTTCAAAAATGTATAAGCGTATATTAATGATGCATTTATTGAAAAATGCTTTAATATTTGGATACAAGTCTAGTGATTTTGTGACTTCTAAGAATTGAAATTGTTTGCAAAGGGTTTATAACTCAAGTGGTTAAGCTGCAAACAACTACAACTCTAGGCCTAGCCAAGCTGCAAACATCAGCAACAGAGTTTTGTTCACGAAACACATGAGTGAGAGAACGAAACCAATCCTGCTGCATTGTGGCTTTATCCTTTCATTTAATACTTATCTATTCTTGTTATTATTTCATGTATCTGCTGTCATTATATGCTTTCATTATTATTTTTATTTTTAATTCTTTTCCTTTTTTATCGTCACTTGATACTACAATATTATTGAATTTTTTACAGTTGAAAATTTATTCTGATCTTTTTTATGTTCTTTTAATCAACCAACGTGGGGATGGATGATTTTTTTGTTTAATTGTATTCATGTTACATTTTATAATTAATTTGTAAGTATTTTAACTTGATTAATGAATTACTCTTAATAGTAAAATATAAAAATACATTTATTTAAGAAATTATTAAATAAATCAACACTGATGTAATAAAATAGTATTTTAATTTGACATATCAGATGGGGTGTAAAACTATGCAGGATGTCAAATTGCCACATCAACCATTAAATTTATATTTAATATTTAATATTTGACATCTCCCTCAAAGATGCTTTAAAGAGATAAGATAATGGCCATTTAAGATCTATATATATAAAGCAAAAGGCAGAGAACATTCAAAATACCAGAAAATGCCCTTAGTTAATGCAAACATTAAGAATTGAAATTATTAATTAAATAAGGATAATATGGTAAATTCACACTTTTTCATATTTAAAAAAATTAAAATTAAAAGAAAAATCATATAATATATCTTATTTTTATGGAACACAACTACCCATTATTTTTTTTTTAATTCTAGAATAAATTTTAAATTAAAAAAAAAAAAAAAACCTCTCGTAAGCACGGAAGTGCGTGTAGACAGCCTAGTAAAAAGAAAAGGTAAAGGGAAACATTAGAAAATAGAGAAGTTTCAAATTTCCAAGTAGTGCACCGAACATGGATGCTATCAATTAAAGCACTATTTTATTAAAAAAAAAATTAATTGTGTCAAGATAAACAAAACACCCAGAAATGAATCCAGTGCCAAGTGGCACACCCATGGCATCACCTATCAAAGCCTTGCTGCACGCCAAAAAGGAATACAGAATCCACACCAAATGTCAACGCGTGAAACATGAGATGTAAAATGCATTTCACTCCATCTGGCCGACGATCTGGACCTGGAATCTATACACACTCCTAGCCTTCTATAAATGTATGAATTCACTTACTGTGTGCTCATCAAACTTGAGAAAACTTTATTCCAATGATGGATATCTATCGCCTCAATATTTCTCACTATTTCCTCCTTTTGTTCTGCTTATCTGGTAATATCGGACTTGCAAGCACTAATGTGAAGTCAATATGCATTGAGGAAGAAAGGCAAGCACTTGTGAGCTTTAAACAAGATTTGAAGGATCCGTCTGGTAGGCTTTCTTCTTGGGTAGGTCATGACTGCTGCCAATGGGAAGGGATTTCATGCAACAACCGCACCGGTCATGTCACCAAGATGGATCTCCGCAGTTCATATCCATATCCTCGAGAGCCGGATGAGGAGTGGGGCTCTTCTTTGGGGGGTAAGATAAATCCTTCTTTGCTTAGCTTGAAACACTTATATTACCTGGATTTAAGTTTGAATAATTTTCAAGGGATCCACATTCCTAAGTTTTTTGGGGAACTTAAAAGTCTTAGGTATCTCAATATCTCATTTGCATGGTTTGGGGGAGAGATTCCCCCTTCTCTTGGTAACTTGTCAAACTTGAACTATCTTGACCTCTCTTCCTCTTATTATGTTTCTAAAAACTTGAATTGGCTCTCTCATCTCTCTTCCCTAAAATACCTCAATCTCAATAGAGTGAATCTTAGCAGCACTAGAGGAGATACAAATTGGATGCATGATGTTAACATGCTTCCTTCCTTACTAGAGTTACACTTATCTAGTTGCGGAATAGAAAGTATTCCACTTTCACTAGGGAGGATTAACTTCACCTCACTTTTGGTCCTTGATATGTCACAAAATGATTTCAACACTTCTTCATTTCCCAACTGGCTTTTCAATCTTACTAGCCTCAGAAAACTTGATCTACAGTGGAATTCCTTCAATAGTCCTCTTCCAGGAGAACTTGCAAACCTCAAATTTCTAGAATACCTCGATTTATCTAATTCAGGCGTCCAAGGTCAAATTGCCAGAGTCAGTGGAAACTTGTGCAAGCTAAAGGTGTTACGTCTTGAGGGGAACGATTTTCACGATGAGGGGATGGAAGAGTTTTGGAGCGCTTTGACAAATTGTCCAAATAATACAATATTGGAGTTAGATTTGTCTGGTTGTGGACTAAAAAGTGAATTGGCGGCCGGGTTAGGAATGTTAACAAATTTGCAATTTCTTTACCTTAGCAGCAACAAGTTGTGGGGATCAATTCCAGAATCTATTGGAAGCTTATTGTCCTTGAAATACCTGGGCCTCTCTGATAATCATATGAACGGGTCTATTCCAGAAGGTCTGGGAAAACTCTCTGAGCTAGAAGTACTAGATCTGGGTGAGAATTCATGGGAAGGCATTCTAACGGAAGCCCATTTCATAAATCTCACAAGATTAAAAGCTATTTCCATATTCAGCTATGATCCCATTTCCCTCATTTTCAACATCACTTATGATTGGGTTCCTCCTTTTAAGCTCCGTTCGATTGACATTAGAAATTGCAAAGTTGGACCTGCTTTTGGGGTATGGCTTCAATCTCAGACTGAACTACAAATTGTCACCCTGAGTAGCACTGGAATATCAGATTCTATACCAGAGGAATGGTTTTTGAAGCTATCTTCCCAACTCACATTCCTGA